GCTTTCAGCAGTGATTCCTTGTGAATATGGAAATGGTTTTGTCGCGACATTCAAAATTAACACATTCATTTGGTATGACTTTCGCACCTACTCTTGTGTATTTCTGCACTGCTTTTTGAATGTGGGTCGGTTATCTAAGCCTGTGGTAGGTACCCAGAACCAATTGCTATTATCTGTCGCCTCCCTTTTATAGCCTATTGAAAACACAGGCTGTTGGTGACTCAGGCCCGAGCAATTAGACTGAACTGAAACCGATGTTACGAGGTGATTTCCCTAATTGAAAGTCCAATCCTGAAATCTGTGGGTAAAGAACTAAACTGTGAAATCTGTAAATGGCCAAGAACAATGAGCAATTAACACATAACATGCAACACAGTTTTAGGTTTACACTTAATAAAGACTATAAAATGGGTCATATACAAGCACTCACGCACCCATACCCACACCCACACCCACACCCACACCCAAACCCACACCCACACCCACACCCACACCCACACCAACACCAACACCAACACCCACACCCACACCCACACCAAAACCCACACCCACACCCAAACCCACACCCACACCCACACCCACACCCACACCCAAACCCACACCCAAACCCACACCCACACCCACACCCACACCCAAACCCACACCCACACCCAAACCCACACCCAAACCCACACCCAAACCCACACTCACACCCACACCCAAACCCACACCCACACCCACACCCACACCCAAACCCACACCCACACCCACACCCACACCCACACCCAAACCCACACCCACACCCACACCCACACCCACACCCACACCCAAACCCACACCCACACCCACACCCACACCAACACCCAAACCAACACCCGAACCCACACCCACACCAAAACCCACACCCACACCCACACCCACACCAACACCCACACCCACACCCACACCCACACCCACACCAACACCCAAACCCAAACCCACACCCACACCCAAACCCAAACCCACACCCAAACCCACACCAAAACCCACACCAAAACCAACACCCACACCAACACCCACACCCACACCCACACCCACACCCACACCCACACCCACACCCAAACCCACACCCACACCCACACCCACACCCACACCCACACCCACACCCACACCCAAACCCACACCAACACCCAAACCCACACCCAAACCCAAACCCACACCCATACCCACACCCACACACAAACCCACACCCACACCCACACCCACACCCACACCCACACCCAAACCCACACCCACACCCACACCCACACCCACACCCAAACCCAAACCCACACCCACACCCAAACACAAACCCACACCCACACCCACACCCAAACCAACACCCAAACCCACACCCACACCCACACCAACACCCAAACCCAAACCCACACCCACACCCACACCCACACCAACACCCAAACCCACACCCAAACCCACACCCAAACCCACACCAACACCCAAACCCAAACCAAAACCCACACCAAAACCCACACCCACACCAACACCCAAACCCACACCCAAACCCACACCAACACCCACACCCACACCCACACCCACACCCACACCAACACCAACACCCACACCCACACCCACACCCACACCCAAACCCACACCCAAACCCACACCCACACCAACACCCACACCCACACCCACACCCACACCCACACCCACACCCACACCCAAACCCACACCCAAACCCACACCCACACCCACTCCCACAATACACAGCTACACCCACACCCACACCCAAACCCACACCCAAACCCACACCCACTCCCACAATACACACCCACACCCACACCCACACCCAAACCCACACCCAAACCCAAACCCACACCCAAACCCACACCCAAACCCACACCCAAACCCACACCCAAACCCACACCCACACCCACACCCACACCCACACCCACTCCCACAATACACACCCACACCCAAACCCACACCCACACCCAAACCCACACCCAAACCCACACCCAAACCCACACCCAAACCCACACCCAAACCCACTCCCACAATACACACCCACACCCAAACCCACACCCACACCCATACCCACACCCAAACCCACACCCAAACCCACACCGAAACCCACACCCACACCCACACCCACACCCACACCCACTCCCACAATACACACCCACACCCAAACCCACACCCACTCCCACTCCCACTCCCACACCCACACCCACTCCCACACCCACTCCCACACCCACACCCACACCCACACCCACACCCACTCCCAAAAACACCCCTCCCACTGTACAGAGCGCTCATCCGCTCTATATCTATGGTGGTGCTTGTAAAGTGAATTTGAAAAAAATTCATCAAGGTCTGAGGCTTTGCCTTTGGGCCTTCAGAACTTCTCCGATGGATTGTCTGTATGTGGAGGCTGATGAACCGTCACTTAAATGTCGCATAAAGTTATCGTTACATTACATTTCTCAACTGCATTCTACTGAATCCAATCCAGCCTATGACTGTGTTTTCTACCCCCCACCCCCCACCCCCCACCCCCTATCAGAGCGTGACACCGCACTAGAGCGTGCGACCTGGTTTGATGAATGCAGGGTGTGTGTTGAAAGTACAAGTAGCACTATAGAGACGGGTTGAGTCAACATGATATACGCCGGGTAATGTAGGAATAATAAATGTACGTCTAGCTGGATCAAATTCATCTTGTACGGTCTACAAGTTGTACACCATGAACGTTAGACAACCTGTATAGAAACAAATATAGACAAAATAGATAAGACTACACAATCAGCAAGCTAGCAGTGTAGTTTACATTTAGCGCGCAAGAATGAGCTAATGTATAGCAGAGAGACTAAGCGACCGACCGCCCATAACAATGTCAACATACCCCGGCCTTACAATAATGTTAACATAACAGCCTCGCCTGAAGCTTCCCATTCATAAATTGTGTGACCAGTGTCCCGTATTTATTATATGTTAGGGAACATGTGTTGTACATTTGTTATTTTAAAAGGGAGTTATTTCAGAGAGTATATATATGGGTATTCCCCTCATTAAACCTTTCTTTCGTTGGTGTCTATTAAACGTATCCGGTATTTAAAACATTTGAATGATGTAGGAAAGTATGTGCTTGTAGATGTTGTACCTATATCCGAACACGAATGTATGACACCTTTCAATAGATCGTGGTTCTAACCACGACACGCAACATGACTATGAGCGTGGTTAGCAGTTCATATTTATAAACACATCGTAAATGACAGATTTCTGATGAATGAACTCGCCCGCACACATGTCTATAGGGTTATGATCGCCCGAACTGTAAACAGTGACACATTGATAACAGACAGGAAGGGTGTGTAAGGGTAAAATACGCGTTTAAACTCACCATTTAAATGATGACATTACTTTTTAGATGTATTGGTATCAGTGAGTGAGGGATCGAAGACAACATATATAAGTCCCAAGCACGAGAATCTGATGGCACACAAGTTCAGTAGCGTGTATGGCCACCATGTGCGTTGACAACTGCCACACAAAGCCTCCGCATGGACCTTGTGATGCTTGTGAACACATGATTGGGAAGACGACGCCATTGTTACTGCAAAATGGTGACAAGATGTTGCAAATTCTGTGGTTGGTTCTGGAGAGTGCGCAGACTTCTGCCAAGAGCATCCCAGACGTGTTCGATGGGATTGAGGTCAGGAGACCTTGACGGCCAGTCCATGACGTTGACTCCCGCATTCTGAAGGAAATTCCTTGTCAAAATTGCTGTGTGGGGTCGGGCATTGTCGTGTTAGAAGATCAAACCGGGTCCATGTGCTGCCATAAAATCAGACGTTCTGGTGCCAGTACCTGGTCGCGGTAAGCAGCAGCGTTGAGGTTGCCATGGATGACAAGAAACCTGGAACGTGCATTGCCACAGAAAGCACCCCACACCATGACACTTCCGCCTCGAAATCTGTCAACTTCCTGTATACAACACTGGGCGTAACGTTCATGACGGCGCCTCCACACCCTCGCCCTACCATCAGCAAATCGAAGATTAAATCGGGATTCATCACTGAAGACGACTTGATTCCAATTCCTCTGAGACCATCTTAAGTGTCGCTGTGCCCACAATTGACGTTGACGTCTGTGTAATTGAGTCAGAATCGGCCCGCAGTATGGCCGTCGTGCTTGAAGGTGAGCAGTTCTCAGACGGTTTCGAACAGTTTGCGCACTCAGTCTACCCCTAAACAGTTTATTTCTGGTTGATGTAGCCGTCAAAAATCGGTTACGGAGGTGACGTAAGACAATCTGACGATCCTCTGCATGTGACGTCACACGTGGTCGACCTGGCCGAGGGCGATCAGCGGTGGTACCCGTTTTCTGTAGACGCGTCTGTAAATCATAAACAGTCCGTCGACTACAACCCATCGTCCTTGCGACTTCAGCTACGGACGTTCCCGTCTGCAACATGACGATGGCACGTTCACGTTGCACATTTGAAAGGCCTGGCATGACAAATGGCCGTAAAGACTTTTGTTTTCTTGTGTTTTTCCTTTTTTTGTTAATGACTGCTAACAAGTATGGCTGAAAAAACACCTTTGCCATTATAGTGCTGTGCACATGATTTTGATCGATTCACCTGCACAAAAACGGGTGTTATCTAAAGACAATACGTGGCCATTACTGTTTAAATACACAATAAGGGCCCACAATGATAACTAGTCAAAATGTTAAAATTTTAGGATTGTGAAGTTTTTAATTTGGTTCAGTATATATACATGTTAAGAACTTGGTATGTTGGGTCATAGGTTATAGATAGTGTGTGAAGTTTACTGAATGTAATGTTTGATATTGCAATATGCCGAAACGATGGTGGTGTGACGTCACATATTAGCTCGAATAATTTGTATGGCTACAGCGCCTATTGTGTATTTCTGCTCTGCTATTTCAATGTGGGTATCTTAAGCCTGTGATGTACAACCTAACCTAGATTAAAGTACCACGTGTTTGACATGTATTTGCTGGTACGTCACCATGACCTACTCCTCGTATCATAAGATTGTCAACACTCGTCGCTCATAAGTGTTAAGTATTCAAATAACAACCCTGCATTGCAAACATTCTGTAATATAGACCTTTACTGTGACCTTGACCTTATACACAGGTGACTCTGGCCCTTCTCGCTTTGGATCCCACGCTAAGTAATTGACTGTACAGTAAATCCTCATCAAATTACGAGGTAATCAGTATTTTTCTATCAATGGCCTTGATAAACTATTTACATGGTGCTGCTGAATACCACAGGTCGTGGTTCATTCCGGGACAAGCTACGGAAAGAGGCGAGTAGTGACGAAGGATGGTCGTCCTGATGGCCTTGGATAACAACAGGGGTTATCTGAACCACGACCTGACCTACTGACTCTCGGTCAGGTGTTCAGTCTAAATATAACTTCACGTCACCGAATCTAACTACTACGTCGCATTTCCTTGAGACTGTTCAGAGGAGTTGTATTCCACGAATACGAAGAATGGCGGGAATAGAACTTGTTCCTGGTCGGTTCTCAAGAGTGCGCAAGGAAAAGAAAGGTAACAAGATGGTTGTTGAGAAAGTACTTGTCTGCTCACAACTTCAAGCAGCCGCCGAAAAGAACATACTCCGACAATGCGGGGAATCTGAAGGGGCCAAGAACATTGTCAAGATGATTGGTGAAGGTTTTACTGCAGATGGCTTCACACTGACCTTTGAATATTGCGAGGAAGGCAACCTGGACCAGTATGTGAGTAAACGTTCAAACTCGAAGAATCCTCTAGACGAGGCCGACTGTCGTTCTGTCGTAACCGACATTGGCAGTGGATTGGAGTTTCTTCATAACTTGCGTATAGAACACCGTAATCTGCAGCCAGAAAACATCCTTGTGACATGGTACAATCGAGCGGTTTATAAAATAGCAGGATTTGGATCGGCTCGCTCGTTATCGGAATGTGACGGGAGACGTGGCCTGGAACGTGACAGGAGACATGGCGGGGATCATGACGGGGGACATTTTGGCGTACATGACGGGGGACATTTTGGCGTACATGACGGGGGACATTTTGGCGTACATGCCGGGGAAGATGGGGAACATGACGAGAACGATGGGGCAGGAGACACTTGTTTTTCACCCCCTGAAGCGGCTCTGACAGATAAAAGTGATATTTTCTCTCTTGGCGCTATCGCCTTTGCTTTATTGCGTCCTGAATTCGACGACGACAAACTAGTTGCCTACTACAATGGACGCCGTCTGGCCGAGGTAAGAGGGGAAATAGAACTCCGTCATGTCGCTGATCAGGGACTGGGAGACGTGATCAAGGCAGCCTTACGGAGAGACATGTCCAAACGCCCAACAGCAGAACAAGTTTGTGAAATGCTGAAAACAGTTTACTCGGATTCTGTTTTGATGAAACTGGCTTATGGCTACCTTGCAATCTGTGCGATTGGTATTGGTGTTGGTATTGGTGTGTTCCTGCGTCGCCAGTGAAAAGGGAGCCTGTCTGCATTTACTCAAACAGATCACCGAGGAAATGACTTAAATTCTGAAGTAGTCTACATTGTCTCCTACAGTATCTATAGTTGTGCAAATCATTTTCATGCAGGAGATTACTTTGAACGAGTATTGTCATAAATATAAAGGAATATCCTTGTTGGAAGTCTGCTCGTACTGCGCATCTGGTGTAACATTTTCATCACAAGAATTACGACTTGATAGAGAGATATATTTCTCAAACTTCACTGGATCATTGTGCCAATCTATTTCTATGGATGAGGCATCACTGGGACACTCAAATATGAAGTGACACTGTGTATGTGGTATGTAGGGAGCCAGCTGTGGACGATATCCTTCCATCCTGAGTCTACAGCACAAGTCAGCTTGACGAAGGCAGCCACCAACATCGTGAATAGGAGATCAGTTGACCACACTGTCTGTGAATTGTGCCACGTAAACCACAATTCAGACACTTTGTAGCTTGGTGAAAAGGATTCTGTCACATATTATAACTGTGATGTGTGGTTTACGGCAAACTGATGTGAAGAACAACTAGTACCCTTGGACTCCACTTTCCACAGCTGCAAGCAACGCATGAACAACGACCCCTACATGCGAAGCCCTGTCCGCGCAGTAACTAAAAGAAAACCAAGGACTTCATCAAAGGCAAAACATTCCAACTGAACTCAATGCCATGTGTCAGTGACTTGGTGACTTTTAGTGTTTTGTGTTTACAGTTTTATATTTCCTCTGGGTAAGTGTGAATACAACTTTGTCATTCTTGTTAAGTCTGTAAGTTACAATGTCTCTTTCCTCGTTTAAAACTACAAGCTCCGATGATGGTGCACCCACCAGTAAGACTTGTTTTCCTTTGAGGATCCGCCGAAAACCCAAACGTGCAAATAAGACACACACAACCCCCCCTCCTCCTCCCAATGTATCCCATATCCCATCTACTCTCGTCCAGCCTGCCATCTCTACTCCCTCCGATCGCCGTTGCCCCATTCATAACTGTAATGACCATTGTTCTCTCTCAGACTGAGGAAAATGTTGACGCACTAAACTTTAATTATGTTCAACTGGCCATCACAAATATGCAAACGGCCTCAATAGATCAAATACACGGGCAATGAACTACTCAAACAATGTACTACAGTAAACTACGGTTATAACCACCCCACACCACCCCACACCACCCCACCCCACCCCACCCCACACCATCCCACCCCACCCCACCCCACCCCACACCACCCCACCCCACACCACCCCACACCACACCACCCCAACCCCAACCCCACGTTCTAGTAGGGGAGTCGGTGGGCGTCGGGATCGACCCAGTTCTATCTCCAGTGGTATTGAACCGCATTACTGGGTTTCAGTGAAATATGACATACACGCACTTAAGCATGCTTCACAATGCCACACACTGTTGTCATAAAAACAATGATATATAACAAACAACAACATTACAAACTATTGTGGCATAGAACCTGGTCCTTACTCATATCTTACTTGAATAAATACACACGAATATGTTAGCTTCTGTACATTTCACGATACTGCCATCACCATTTGAATAGCATCAGACTGAGGAAAATGTTGACGCACTAAACTTTAATTATGTTCAACTGGCCATCACAAATATGCAAACGGCCTCAACAGATCAAATACACGGGCAATGAACTACTCAAACAATGTACTACAGTAAACTACGGTTATAACGAACTCAAAGGGACTACTAATTTTAGTTCGTTATAACCGTAATTCGTTATAAGCATATATACAGTATAGCTACAGCAAATAGTTGGGACTAAAAAGTTAGTTCGTTATATCCGTTAGTTCGTTATAAGCGTGTTCGTTATAACCGTAGTTCACTGTACATTGATTGTTCTAATGACCCATAGATGAAAGTTAGTCAGGCTTAGAGCTTTTTGACCAGCCCTCGTATCAAGCAATGTTTTCATTGCTGATGCCCAATTCTTATCAACCAGCATAAGCATTCGTATGTATATTTGCTTGATTCTGTATCATGGATGTATGTATGTCAATGTATTTAGTTAGTCGTATTGTACATTATTAAATAAAAAAGTGGTCCACAGCAAATTCAATTCAAAATCCATGTCTATCTATAATAATTATTGCTCAGCAATAAGTCAATGTTTGCAAACAATTCATTTTTTTATGCACTCATATCGATTGTCCACTATACATCATTCACAACCCTTATTGAGGGCGTGAGGGCATGACCTTTGTCACGACCGAAACGTATATTACATGCAGTATACCGTTTATCAAGTGCAATATCTAGTATACCGGGGGCACGGGTGGCCCAGTCGTCCAAGGCGCCGCGATTCGCTGTGCAGAGTTGAGTCCCTTGGGCACGCCAGAAACCTATGATTGTGGGTTCGAATCCCGGTTCGTTCTGATTATGTTTCTAGGTTTGTCAGCACCATACCCGTGCTCTTGGATTTCACCAAAGTGGTAAACGTCAGAGACCTGCATCACTTCGGGCTTTCCTCCCACATAAAGCTGACATGCCGTGATATAACTGGAATACTGTTGAAAGCGGCGTTAAACCCAACTCACTCACCCACTCCAGTATACCACATGTACTATAAGAGTGTGTCGCATGCAGTGTGCGTCGGGCGATCTCGCTGAACAGAAGCAATATTCCAGCAGCTACAGCATGATAACACGTACCCGGAGCGATATTCCAGCAGCTATAGCATGATAACACGTACCCGGAGCGATATTCCAGCAGCTACAGCATGATAACACGTACCCGGAGCAATATTCAAGCAGCTACAGCATGATAACACGTACCCGGAGCGATATTCCAGCAGCTACAGCATGATAACACGTACCCGGAGCGATATTCCAGCAGCTACAGCATGATAACACGTACCCGGAGCTATATTCCAGCAGCCACAGCATGATAACACGTACCCGGAGCGATATTGCAGCAGCTACAGCATGATAACACGTACCCGGAGCGATATTCCAGCAGCTACAGCATTTGTGGTCCGAGCATGCCCTTTCTATGTAGATTTCAAACAGCGTCGTAAGACTCTTGGCCAAAAATTGTTTGATCAGGGTTACAACATAGAAGGCCTTAATAGGGAAGTTTTATGGTTTACATGTGAACGTTTGATTTGCCCTTGCGTGTGTTTGTGACGGGTTGCCACCGATAGGACAGGATAGGCTCACCTTATCAAGAATACCTGGTAGAATCATAGTCTGTCATACATACCCTAATACAAATAAGGGGGCACTGGTGGCCCAGTCGTCTAAGGCCCAGCGATTCGCTCTGCAGAGTTGCGTCCCTTGGGCACACCAGAAACCTATGATTGTGGGTTCGAATCCTGGTTCGCCCTAATTATGTTTCTAGGTTTGTCAGAACCATACCCGTGCTCGTGGGTTTCACCGAAGTGGTAAACGTCTGAGGCGTGCATCACTTCGGGCTTTCCTCCCACATTAAGCTGACACGCCGCGATATAACTGGAATACTGCTAAAAGCGGCGTTAAATCCAACTCCTTTACTCACTAATACAAATATATTCAATACAGCCCATGTAAGTGTATAACGTTGGCAAGTCTAGATTACTGCAGCATAAGGTATCTACGAAATGAAGAGAGTCTCTGGGTTCATTTTTATTATATTTTTATTAAGATAATTTAACAACTGTTGTTTTTCTGTGAGATACGTTCACTTCAGAGACTAGATGTTAGTCCAGTAGCATCGCTATAGTGATTAACAACACGTGCTTGATTACGATATAGGCGGAATAGAACAATGGACTCCGATTTTAGCAGAGATTCCTTGTGATTATGGAAATGCTTTGTCGCGACGTTCTGTATTAACTCATTCAATTGTTGTGACTATCGCACCTACTTCTGTGTATTTCGGTTAACTGAGCCCATGGTTGGTGTCCTGAATCAGTTGCTGTGACTCTCGACCGCCTCCGTGGTCTAGTGGTAGAGCGTCCGCCCGGAGAGCGGAAGGTCCGGGGCTCGATCCCCGGCCGCGTCATACCAAAAGACGTTAAAATATGGTACTTGTTGTTACCCTGTCTGGTGCTCGGCATTAAGGGGATAAAACAAGGACTTGTCGGCTCGGAGTCAGTATACTGTGTCTGAGTGGGGTATTCATGTTAAACTGTGGCATGGTATCTCAATGGGCTAGCACTATAAATCGGCATCAGTCCGGACTAGTACAAGCAGCAGACGCACGCACGCACGCACGCACGCACGCACGCACGCACGCACGCACGCAGTAATCTTGGACGCGACGTTTAAACCCAATTTCACCTCACCTCACCTCAACTAGGTCTCCATTCTGTACTTTGCAACTTTGTTGTTTACGCCGCACTCATCAACATTCCAGGTACATGACGCCGTCTGTAATTAATCGAGTCTGGACCAGACTATCCAGTGATTGATGTCATGAGCATCGATCCACGCAATTGGGACACGATGACATGAATTAACCAAATCAGCGAGCCTGACCACATGACCCGCTGAGTACATATCTGCACCAAATGGCATTTTAGTGATAAGGTGAAAACGTACTGTAATATCGATTTTTTGGTGTGAGCTCTTCAGGCTATGGCCTTGGGCTATAATGGAGATAATATTAACATTGTGTTACTAAATATATCAAGTGATTCATTCGTGGCCAACTCGTGTTATTCCGGGACAAGCTACGGAGAGAGGCGAGTAGTGACGAACGATGGTAGTCCTGACGGGCTTAGGTAACAACAGGGGTTATCTGAACCACGACCTGACTGGCTGACTCACAGTCAGGTGTTCAGTCTAAATATAACTACGCGCCATTGAATCTAACTGTACTTCGTCGCATTTCCTTGAGATTATTCAGAGGAGTCCTATTCCAGGCATAGGAAAAATGAAGGAAACAGAGCTGGTTCAAGGTCGGTTCTCAACATTGAGGAACTTTAACATAGGTAACAAAACGGTGCTTGTGAAAGCATTTTCGTGTCCACAGCCGATTGCAGACGCCGAAAAGAATATACTCCGACAATGCGCAGAATCTGAAGGGGCCAAAAACATTGTCAAGATTTATGACGCTTTTCCTGCAAAAGGCGTCACAATGATCTTGGAATATTGCGAGGAAGGCAACCTGAACCAATATGTGAGTAAACGTTTATTCATGAAGAAACCTCCGAATGCAGCCGACTGTCGTTCTTTCATGACCGACATTGCCAGTGGTTTGCAGTTTCTTCACCACATTGATATCATACACGGCAACCTACTGCCAGAAAACATCCTTGTGACGTCATACAGTAAACCTGTTTATAAAATAGGAGGATTTGGATCGGCAGCTCGTCGCAAGGCCAGGAGAAATAACAGGAGAGTTGAGGAACATGGTGGGTTAGATGCGACTGAAGACTCTTGTTTTTTGCCCCCTGAAGGGGCTCTGGACAAGAAAAGTGATATTTTCTCCCTTGGAGCTGTCACCTATGCTTTATGGAGTCCGCAATTTGTCAACGACAAACTAGTTGCCTACTATGGTGGACGTCATCTGGCCAAGATGGCAGGGGAAATAGACCTCCGTCACATCACTGACCAGAGACTGCGAGACATCATCAATGAAGCCTTAAAAGGAGATATAGTTGGACGCCCAACAGCAGAACAAGTTTGTTCAATGCTGAATACAGGTTACACGTGGTGGAATATTCTGATTTTTGGCGGCGTTGTAGTTGTGTCTGCATATATTTCAGAAATAACACTGAAACAATGGGATATAATTTAGAAAAAATTAACGAGATCATTATCCCAATATATTTCTATGGATCAATATGAAGTGAAACTGTGTGGATATGTAGAGAGCCAGCTGTGGAGTCCACAATACAACCAACCACTAACATTGTGAATGGGAGATTTAGTTGACCACACTGTCTGTCAATGGTGCCACGGATACCACAATTCGGCCACTTTGTAGCTTTGTGAAAAGGATTCTGTCACATATTATAACTGTGATGTGTGGTTTACGGCAAATCGATGTGAAGACCAAAAACAAGTGCCCTTGGACTCCACCTTCCACAGCCACAAGCAACGGATGAACAACGACCCCTACATGCAAATCCCGTGTCCGTGCGAAAACCAAAATAAGCAAAGGACCAAAAATAAAGCCAAGGACTCCATCAAAGGCCAAGACCATGACCAACTCCTCGTATCATAAGATTGTCAACACTCGTCGCTCATAAGTGTTAAGTATTCAAATAACAACCCTGCATTGCAAACATTCTGTAATATTGACCTTTACTGTGACATGACCTTATACACAGGTGACTCTGGCCCTTCTCGATTTGGATCCCACGCTAAGTAATTGACTGTACAGTAAATCCTCATCAAATTACGAGGTAATCAGTATTTTTCGATCATTGTCCTTGATAAACTGTTTACATGGTTCTGCTGAATACCACATGTCGTGGTTCATTCCGGGAGAAGCTACGGAAAGAGGCGAGTAGTGACGAAGGATGGTCGTCCTGATGGCCTTAGATAACAACAGGGGTTATCTGAACCACGACCTGACCTACTGACTCTCGGTCAGGTGTTCAGTCTAAATATAACTTCACGTCACCGAATCTAACTACTACGTCGCATTTCCTTGAGACTGTTCAGAGGAGTTGTATTCCACGAATACGAAGAATGGCGGGAATAGAACTTGTTCCTGGTCGGTTCTCAAGAGTGCGCAAGGAAAAGAAAGGTAACAAAATGGTTGTTGAGAAAGTACTTGTCTGCTCACAACGTCAAGCAGCCGCCGAAAAGAACATACTCCGACAATGTGCAGAATCTGAAGGGGCCAAGAACATTGTCAAGATGATTGGTGAAGGTTTTACTGCAGATAGCTTCACACTGACCTTTGAATATTGCGAGGAAGGCAACCTGGACCAGTATGTGAGTAAACGTTCAAACTCGAAGAATCCTCTAGACGAGGCCGACTGTCGTTCTGTCGTAACCGACATTGGCAGTGGATTGGAGTTTCTTCATAACTTGCGCATAGAACACCGTAACCTGCAGCCAGAAAACATCCTTGTGACATGGTACAATCGAGCGGTTTATAAAATAGCAGGATTTGGATCGGCTCGCTCGTTATCGGAATGTGACGGGAGACGTGGCCTGGAACGTGACAGGAGACATGGCGGGGATCATGACGGGGGACATTTTAGCGTACATGACGGGGGACATTTTGGCGTACATGACGGGGGACATTTTGGCGTACATGACGGGGAAGATGGGGAACATGACGAGAACGATGGGGCAGGAGACACTTGTTTTTCACCCCCTGAAGCGGCTCTGACAGATAAAAGTGATATTTTCTCTCTTGGCGCTATCGCCTTTGCTTTATTGCGTCCTGAATTCGACGACGACAAACTAGTTGCCTACTACAATGGACGCCGTCTGGCCGAGGTAAGAGGGGAAATAGAACTCCGTCATGTCGCTGATCAGGGACTGGGAGACGTGATCAAGGCAGCCTTACGGAGAGACATGTCCAAACGCCCAACAGCAGAACAAGTTTGTGAAATGCTGAAAACAGTTTACTCGGATTCTGTTTTGATGAAACTGGCTTATGGCTACCTTGCAATCTGTGCGATTGGTATTGGTGTTGGTATTGGTGTGTTCCTGCGTCGCCAGTGAAAAGGGAGCCTGTCTGCATTTACTCAAACAGATCACCGAGGAAATGACTTGAATTCTGAAGTAGTCTACATTGTCTCCTACAGTATCTATAGTTGCGCAAATCATTTTCATGCAGGAGATTATTTTGAACGAGTATTGTCATAAATATAAAGGAATATCCTTGTTGGAAGTCTGCTCGTACTGCGCATCTGGTGTAACATTTTCATCACAAGAATTACGACTTGATAGAGAGATATATTTCTCAAACTTCACTGGATCATTGTGCCAATCTATTTCTATGGATGAGGCATCACTGGGACACTCCAATATGAAGTGACACTGTGTATATGGTATGTAGGGAGCCAGCTGTGGACGAAGACGATACCCTTCCATCCTGAGTCTACAGCACAAGTCAGCTTGACGAAGGCAGCCACCAACATCGTGAATAGGAGATCAGTTGACCACACTGTCTGTCAATTGTGCCACGTAAACCACAATTCAGACACTTTGTAGCTTGGTGAAGAGGATTCTGTCACATATTATAACTGTGATGTGTGGTTTACGGCAAACTGATGTGAAGAACAACTAGTACCCTTGGACTCCACTTTCCACAGCTGCAAGCAACGCATGAACAACGACCCCTACATGCGAAGCCCTGTCCGCGCAGTAACTAAAAGAAAACCAAGGACTTCATCAAAGGCAAAACATTCCAACTGAACTCAATGCCATGTGTCAGTGACTTGGTGACTTTTAGTGTTTTGTGTTTACAGTTTTATATTTCCTCTGGGTAAGTGTGAATACAACTTTGTCATTCTTGTTAAGTCTGTAAGTTACAATGTCTCTTTCCTCGTTTAAAACTACAAGCTCCGATGATGGTGCACCCACCAGTAAGACTTGTTTTCCTTTGAGGATCCGCCGAAAACCCAAACGTGCAAATAAGACACACACAACCCCCCCTCCTCCTCCCAATGTATCCCATATCCCATCTACTCCCGTCCAGCCTGTCATCTCTACTCCCTCCGATCGCCGTTGCCCCATTCATAACCCCACCCCACACCACCCCACCCCACCCATCACCATTTGAATAGCATCAGACTGAGGAAAATGTTGACGCACTAAACTTTAATTATGTTCAACTGGCCATCACAAATATGCAAACGGCCTCAATAGATCAAATACACGGGCAATGAACTACTCAAACAATGTACTACAGTAAACTACGGTTATAACCACCCCACCCCACCCCACCCCACCCCACCCCACCCCACCCCACCCCACCCCACCCCACCCCACACCATCCCACCCCACCCCACCCCACCCCACACCACCCCACCCCACACCACCCCACACCACACCACCCCAACCCCAACCCCACGTTCCAGTAGGGGAGTCGGTGGGCGTCGGGATCGACCCAGTTCTATCTCCAGTGGTATTGAACCGCATTACTGGGTTTCAGTGAAATATGACATACACGCACTTAAGCATGCTTCACAATGCCACACACTGTTGTCATAAAAACAATCATATATAACAAACAACAACATTACAAACTATTGTGGCATAGAACCAGGTCCTTACTCATATCTTACTTGAATAAATACACACGAATATGTTAGCTTCTGTACATTTCACGATACTGCCATCACCATTTGAATAGCATCAGACTGAGGAAAATGTTGACGCACTAAACTTTAATTATGTTCAACTGGCCATCACAAATATGCAAACGGCCTCAACAGATCAAATACACGGGCAATGAACTACTCAAACAATGTACTACAGTAAACTACGGTTATAACGAACTCAAAGGGACTACTAATTTTAGTTCGTTATAACCGTAATTCGTTATAAGCATATATACAGTATAGCTACAGCAAATAGTTGGGACTAAAAAGTTAGTTCGTTATATCCGTTAGTTCGTTATAAGCGTGTTCGTTATAACCGTAGTTCACTGTACATTGATTGTTCTAATGACCCATAGATGAAAGTTAGTCAGGCTTAGAGCTTTTTGACCAGCCCTCGTATCAAGCAATGTTTTCATTGCTGATGCCCAATTCTTATCAACCAGCATAAGCATTCGTATGTATATTTGCTTGATTCTGTATCATGGATGTATGTATGTCAATGTATTTAGTTAGTCGTATTGTACATTATTAAATAAAAAAGTGGTCCACAGCAAATTCAATTCAAAATCCATGTCTATCTATAATAATTATTGCTCAGCAATAAGACAATGTTTGCAAACAATTCATTTTTTTAAGCACTCATATCGATTGTCCACTATACATCATTCACAACCCTTATTGAGGGCGTGAGGGCATGACCTTTGTCACGACCGAAACGTATATTACATGCAGTATACCGTTTATCAAGTGCAATATCTAGTATACCGGGGGCACGGGTGGCCCAGTCGTCCAAGGCGCCGCGATTCGCTGTGCAGAGTTGAGTCCCTTGGGCACGCCAGAAACCTATGATTGTGGGTTCGAATCCCGGTTCGTTCTGATTATGTTTCTAGGTTTGTCAGCACCATACCCGTGCTCTTGGATTTCACCAAAGTGGTAAACGTCAGAGACCTGCATCACTTCGGGCTTTCCTCCCACATAAAGCTGACATGCCGTGATATAACTGGAATACTGTTGAAAGCGGCGTTAAACCCAACTCACTCACCCACTCCAGTATACCACATGTACTATAAGAGTGTGTCGCATGCAGTGTGCGTCGGGCGATCTCGCTGAACAGAAGCAATATTCCAGCAGCTACAGCATGATAACACGTACCCGGAGCGATATTCCAGCAGCTACAGCATGATAACACGTACCCGGAGCGATATTCCAGCAGCTACAGCATGATAACACGTACCCGGAGCGATATTCCAGCATCTACAGCATGATAACACGTACCCGGAGCGATATTCCAGCAGCTACAGAATGATAACACGTACCCGGAGCAATATTCCAGCAGCTACAGCATGATAACACGTACCCGGAGCGATATTCCAGCAGCTACAGCATGATAACACGTACCAGGAGCGATATTCCAGCAGCTACAGCATGATAACACGTACCCGGAGCAATATTCCAGCAGCCACAGCATGATAACACGTACCCGGAGCGATATTCCAGCAGCTACAGCATGATAACACGTACCCGGAGCGATATTCCAGCAGCTACAGCATTTGTGGTCCGAGCATGCCCTTTCTATGTAGATTTCAAACAGCGTCGTAAGACTCTTGGCCAAAAATTGTTTGATCAGGGTTACAACATAGAAGGCCTTAATAGGGAAGTTTTATGGTTTACATGTGAACGTTTGATTTGCCGTTGCGTGTGTTTGTGACGGGTTGCCACCGATAGGACAGGATAGGCTCACCTTATCAAGAATACCTGGTAGCATCATAGTCTGTCATACATACCCTAATACAAATAAGGGGGCACGGGTGGCCCAGTCGTCTAAGGCCCAGCGATTCGCTCTGCAGAGTTGCGTCCCTTGGGCACACCAGAAACCTATGATTGTGGGTTCGAATCCCGGTTCGCCCTAATTATGTTTCTAGGTTTGTCAGAACCATACCCGTGCTCGTGGGTTTCACCGAAGTGGTAAACGTCTGAGGCGTGCATCACTTCGGGCTTTCCTCCCACATTAAGCTGACACGCCGCGATATAACTGGAATACTGCTAAAAGCGGCGTTAAATCCAACTCCTTTACTCACTAATACAAATATATTCAATACAGCCCATGTAAGTCTATAACGTTGGCAAGTCTAGATTACTGCAGCATAAGGTATCTACGAAATGAAGAGAGTCTCTGGGTTCATTTTTATTATATTTTTATTAAGATAATTTAACAACTGTTGTTTTTCTGTGAGATACGTTCACTTCAGAGACTAGATGTTAGTCCAGTAGCATCGCTATAGTGATTAACAACACGTGCTTGATTACGATATAGGCGGAATAGAACACTGGACTCCGATTTTAGCAGAGATTCCTTGTGATTATGGAAATGCTTTGTCGCGACGTTCTGTATTAACTCATTCAATTGTTATGACTATCGCACCTACTTCTGTGTATTTCGGTTAACTGAGCCCATGGTTGGTGTCCTGAATCAGTTGCTATGACTGTCGACCGCCTCCGTGGTCTAGTGGTAGAGCGTCCGCCCGGAGAGCGGAAGGTCCGGGGCTCGATCCCCGGCCGCGTCATACCAAAAGACGTTAAAATATGGTACTTGTTGTTACCCTGTCTGGTGCTCGGCATTAAGGGGATAAAACAAGGACTAGTCGGCTCGGAGTCAGTATACTGTGTCTGAGTGGGGTATTCATGTTAAACTGTGGCATGGTATCTCAATGGGCTAGCACTATAAATCGGCATCAGTCCGGACTAGTACAAGCAGCAGACGCACGCACGCACGCACGCACGCACGCACGCACGCACGCACGCAGTAATCTTGGACGCGACGTTTAAACCCAATTTCACCTCACCTCACCTCAACTAGGTCTCCATTCTGTACTTTGCAACTTTGTTGTTTACGCCGCACTCATCAACATTCCAGGTACATGACGCCGTCTGTAATTAATCGAGTCTGGACCAGACAATCCAGTGATTGATGTCATGAGCATCGATCCACGCAATTGGGACACGATGACATGAATTAACCAAATCAGCGAGCCTGACCACATGACCCGCTGAGTACATATCTGCACCAAATGGCATTTTAGTGATAAGGTGAAAACGTACTGTAATATCGATTTTTTGGTGTGAGCTCTTCAGGCTATGGCCTTGGGCTATAATGGAGATAATATTAACATTGTGTTACTAAATATATCAAGTGATTCATTCGTGGCCAACTCGTGTTATTCCGGGACAAGCTACGGAGAGAGGCGAGTAGTGACGAACGATGGTAGTCCTGACGGGCTTAGGTAACAACAAGGGTTATCTGAACCACGACCTGACTGGCTGACTCACAGTCAGGTGTTCAGTCTAAATATAACTACGCGCCATTGAATCTAACTGTACTTCGTCGCATTTCCTTGAGATTATTCAGAGGAGTCATATTCCAGGCATACGAAAAATGAAGGAAACAGAGCTGGTTCAAGGTCGGTTCTCAACATTGAGGAACTTTAACATAGGTAACAAAACGGTGCTTGTGAAAGCATTTTCGTGTCCACAGCCGATTGCAGACGCCGAAAAGAATATACTCCGACAATGCGCAGAATCTGAAGGGGCCAAAAACATTGTCAAGATTTATGACGCTTTTCCTGCAAAAGGCGTCACAATGATCTTGGAATATTGCGAGGAAGGCAACCTGAACCAATATGTGAGTAAACGTTTATTCATGAAGAAACCTCCGAATGCAGCCGACTGTCGTTCTTTCATGACCGACATTGCCAGTGGTTTGCAGTTTCTTCACCACATTGATATCATACACGGCAACCTACTGCCAGAAAACATCCTTGTGACGTCATACAGTAAACCTGTTTATAAAATAGGAGGATTTGGATCGGCAGCTCGTCGCAAGGCCAGGAGAAATAACAGGAGAGTTGAGGAACATGGTGGGTTAGATGCGACTGAAGACTCTTGTTTTTTGCCCCCTGAAGGGGCTCTGGACAAGAAAAGTGATATTTTCTCCCTTGGAGCTGTCACCTATGCTTTATGGAGTCCGCAATTTGTCAACGACAAACTAGTTGCCTACTATGGTGGACGTCATCTGGCCAAGATGGCAGGGGAAATAGACCTCCGTCACATCACTGACCAGAGACTGCGAGACATCATCAATGAAGCCTTAAAAGGAGATATAGTTGGACGCCCAACAGCAGAACAAGTTTGTTCAATGCTGAATACAGGTTACACGTGGTGGAATATTCTGATTTTTGGCGGCGTTGTAGTTGTGTCTGCATATATTTCAGAAATAACACTGAAACAATGGGATATAATTTAGAAAAAATTAACGAGATCATTATCCCAATATATTTCTATGGATCAATATGAAGTGAAACTGTGTGGATATGTAGAGAGCCAGCTGTGGAGTCCACAATACAACCAACCACTAACATTGTGAATGGGAGATTTAGTTGACCACACTGTCTGTCAATGGTGCCACGGATACCACAATTCGGCCACTTTGTAGCTTTGTGAAAAGGATTCTGTCACATATTATAACTGTGATGTGTGGTTTACAGCAAACTGATGTGAAGACCAAAAACAAGTGCCCTTGGACTCCACCTTCCACAGCCACAAGCAACGGATGAACAACGACCCCTACATGCAAATCCCGTGTCCGTGCGAAAACCAAAATAAGCAAAGGACCAAAAATAAAGCCAAGGACTCCATCAAAGGCCAAGACCATGACCAACTCCTCGTATCATAAGATTGTCAACACTCGTCGCTCATAAGTGTTAAGTATTCAAATAACAACCCTGCATTGCAAACATTCTGTAATATTGACCTTTACTGTGACATGACCTTATACACAGGTGACTCTGGCCCTTCTCGATTTGGATCCCACGCTAAGTAATTGACTGTACAGTAAATCCTCATCAAATTACGAGGTAATCAGTATTTTTCGATCAATGGCCTTGATAAACTGTTTACATGGTGCTGCTGAATACCACATGTCGTGGTTCATTCCGGGACAAGCTACGGAAAGAGGCGAGTAGTGACGAAGGATGGTCGTCCTGATGGCCTTAGATAACAACAGGGGTTATCTGAACCACGACCTGACCTACTGACTCTCGGTCAGGTGTTCAGTCTAAATATAACTTCACGTCACCGAATCTAACTACTACGTCGCATTTCCTTGAGACTGTTCAGAGGAGTTGTATTCCACGAATACGAAGAATGGCGGGAATAGAACTTGTTCCTGGTCGGTTCTCAAGAGTGCGCAAGGAAAAGAAAGGTAACAAGATGGTTGTTGAGAAAGTACTTGTCTGCTCACAACGTCAAGCAGCCGCCGAAAAGAACATACTCCGACAATGTGCAGAATCTGAAGGGGCCAAGAACATTGTCAAGATGATTGGTGAAGGTTTTACTGCAGATGGCTTCACACTGACCTTTGAATATTGCGAGGAAGGCAGCCTGGACCAGTATGTGAGTAAACGTTCAAACTCGAAGAATCCTCTAGACGAGGCCGACTGTCGTTCTGTCGTAACCGACATTGGCAGTGGATTGGAGTTTCTTCATAACTTGCGCATAGAACACCGTAACCTGCAGCCAGAAAACATCCTTGTGACATGGTACAATCGAGCGGTTTATAAAATAGCAGGATTTGGATCGGCTCGCTCGTTATCGGAATATGACGGGAGACGTGGCCTGGAACGTGACAGGAGACATGGCGGGGATCATGACGGGGGACATTTTAGCGTACATGACGGGGGACATTTTGGCGTACATGACGGGGGACATTTTGGCGTACATGACGGGGGACATTTTGGCGTACATGACGGGGAAGATGGGGAACATGACGAGAACGATGGGACAGGAGAAACTTGTTTTTCACCCCCTGAAGCGGCTCTGACAGTGAAAAGTGATATTTTCTCTCTTGGCGCTATCGCCTTTGCTTTATTGCGTCCTGAATTTGACGACAACAAACTAGTTGCCTACTACAATGGACGCCGTCTGGCCGAGGTAAGAGGGGAAATAGAACTCCGTCATGTCGCTGATCAGGGACTGGGAGACGTGATCAAGGCAGCCTTACAGAGAGACATGTCCAAACGCCCAACTGCAGAACAAGTTTGTGAAATGCTGAAAACAGTTTACTCGGATCCTGTTTTGATGAAACTGGCTTATGGCTACCTTGCAATCTGTGCGATTGGTATTGGTGTTGGTATTGGTGTGTTCCTGCGTCGCCAGTGAAAAGGGAGCCTGTCTTGCATTTACTCAAACAGATCACCGAGGAAATGACTTGAATTCTGAAGTAGTCTACATTGTCTCCTACAGTATCTATAGTTGCGCAAATCATTTTCATGCAGGAGATTACTTTGAACGAGTATTGTCATAAATGTATTGGAACATCCTTGTTGGAAGTCTGGTGTAACATTTTCACCACAACAATCACGACTTGATAGAGGGATATATTTCTCAAAATTCACTGGATCACCAATCTATTTCTATGGATGAGGCATCACTGGGACACTCCAATATGAAGTGACACTGTGTATGTGGTATGTAGGGAGCCAGCTGTTGACGATACCCTTCCTTCCTGAGCCTACAGCACAAGTCAGCTTGACGAAGGCAGCCACCAACATCGTGAATAGGAGATCAGTTGACCACACTGTCTGTCAATTGTGCCACTTAAACCACAATTCAGACACTTTGTAGCTTGGTGAAAAGGATTCTGTCACATATTATAACTGTGATGTGTGGTTTACGGCAAACTGATGTGAAGAACAACTAGTACCCTTGGACTCCACTTTCCAAAGCTGCAAGCAATGCATGAACAACGACCCCTACATGCGAAGCCCTGTCCGCGCAGTAACTAAAAGAAAACCAAGGACTTCATCAAAGGCAAAACATTCCAACTGAACTCAATGCCATGTGTCAGTGACTTGGTGACTTTTAGTGTTTTGTGTTTACAGTTTTATATTTCCTCTGGGTAAGTGTGAATACAACTTTGTCGTTCTTGTTAAGTCTGTAAGTTACAATGTCTCTTTCCTCGTTTAAAACTACAAGCTCCGATGATGGTGCACCCACCAGTAAATCTTCTTTTACTTTGAGGATCCGCCGTAAACCCAAACGTGCAAATAAGACTCCCCCGACCCCCGACCCCCCCCCCCACCCCCCCCACACCCCACACCCCTCCCAAATTATCCCATCTACTCCCGTCCAGCCTGCCATCTCTACTCCCTCCGATCGCCCTTGCCCCATTCATAACTGTAACGACCATTGTTCTCCCACCCCACCCCACCCCACCCCACCCGACCCCACCCCACCCCAACCCCACGTTCCAGTAGTCGGTGGGCGTCGGGATCGACCCAGTTCTATCTCCAGTGGTATTGAACCGCATTACTGGGTTTCAGTGAAATATGACATACACGCACTTAAGCATGCTTCACAATGCCACACACTGTTGTCATAAAAACAATCATATATAACAAACAACAACATTACAAACTATTGTGGCATAGAACCAGGTCCTTACACATATCTTACTTGAATAAATACACACGAATATGTTAGCTTCTTCAGATTTCACGATACTACCATCACCATTTGAATAGCATCAGACTGAGGAAAATGTTGACGCACTAAACTTTAATTATGTTCAACTGGCCATCACAAATATGCAAACGGCCTCAACAGATCAAATACACGGGCAATGAACTAATCAAACAATGTACTACATTGATTGTTGTAATGGCCCATAGATGAAAGTTAGTCAGGCTTAGAGTTTTTTTCGTATCAAGCAATGTTTTCATTGCTGATGCCCAATTCTTATCAACCAGCATAAGCATTCGTATGTTTATTTGCTTGATTCTATATCATGGATGTATGTATTTATTGTATTTAGTTAGTCGTATTCTACATTATTAAAGAAAAAAAGTTGTCCACAGCAAATTCAATTCAAAATCCATGTCTATCTATAATAATTATTGCTCAGCAATTAGACAATGTTTGCAAACAATTCATTTTTGTATGCACTCATATCGATTGTCCACTGTACATCATTCACAACCCTTATTGAGGACGTGTGGGCATGACCTTTGTCACGACCGAAACGTATATTACATGCAGTATACCGTTTATCAAGTGCAATATCTAGTATACCGGGGGCACGGGTGGCCCAGTCGTCCAAGGCGCCGCGATTCGCTGTGCAGAGTTGCGTCCCTTGGGCACGCCAGAAACCTATGATTGTGGGTTCGAATCCCGGTTCGCTCCGATTATGTTTCTAGGTTTGTCAGCACCATACCCGTGCTCTTGGATTTCATCAAAGTGGTAAACGTCAGAGACCTGCATCACTTCGGGCTTTCCCCCCACATAAAGCTGACATGCCGTGATATAACTGGAATACTGTTGAAAGCGGCGTTTAACCCAACTCACTCACCCACTCCAGTATACCACATGTACTATAAGAGTGTGTCGCATGCAGTGTGCGCCGGGCGATATATCGCTGAACAGAAGCAGATGAAGGTAGATGCATGTAAACGAGCGCAAGTTGGGCAGTTTGGAACTGGGAGTTGAGCACCCGTTGAAGAGCTCACAATAAAACATTGTTCACCCGCAGACGGACTTGTGTTATCAAGACGTATCCGGAGCGATATTCCAGCAAATACAGCATGATAACACGTATCCGGATTAATATTGCAGCAGCTACAGCATGATACCACGTACCCGGAGCGATATTCCAGCAGCTACAGCATGATAACACGTACCCGGAGCGATATTCCAGCAGCTACAGCATGATAACACGTTCCCGGAGAGATATTCCAGCAGCTACAGCATGATAACACGTACCCGGAGCGATATTCCAGCAGCTACAGCATGATAACACGTACCCGGAGCGATATTCCAGCAGCTACAGCATGATAACACGTACCCGGAGCGATATTCCAGCAGCTACAGCATTATAACACGTATCCGGATTAATATTCCAGCAGCTACAGCATGATACCACGTACCCGGAGCGATATTCCAGCAGCTAACGCATGATAACACGTTGCCGGAGCGATATTCCAGCAGCTACAGCATGATAACACTTACCCGGAGCAATATTCCAGCAGTTACAGCATGATAACACGTACCCGGAGCAATATTCCAGCAGCTACAGCATGATAACACGTACCCGGAGCGATATTCCAGCAGCTACAGCATGATAACACGTATCCGGATTAATATTGCAGCAGCTACAGCATGATACCACGTACCCGGAGCGATATTCCAGCAGCTAACGCATGATAACACGTTCCCGGAGCGATATTCCAGCAGCTACAGCATGATAACACGTTCCCGGAGCGATATTCCAGCAGCTACAGCATGATAACACGTACCCGGAGCGATATTCCAGCAGTTACAGCATGATAACACGTACCCGGAGCGATATTCCAGCAGCTACAGCATGATAACACGTACCCGGAGCGATATTCCAGCAGCTACAGCATGATAACACGTATCCGGATTAATATTCCAGCAGCTACAGCATGATAACACGTTCCCGGAGCGATATTCCAGCAGCTACAGCATGATAACACGTACCCGGAGCAATATTCCAGCAGTTACAGCATGATAACACGTACCTGGAGCAATATTCCAGCAG